CCCTTCTTGACCCTTGCTTTCCAATAATCTCATTGATCCGGAGCTTAAGGTTTTGTGGAAGAATCCTTCGGTTTAGCGGGCAGTTCGACTCTTTTGGGGAGTTGGACAAAGTTCTTCCCAGAGTTTCGGTTTGGTTCCTTTGTGTGGGCATTTTTTTAAGGCAATAATCTTTTCTTCTTCATTGTTGATCTCAGAATCATGGGCTGAAGAGGAACATGTATCCGCGTCCTGTTCCTGGTCGACACCAAGAGTGGGGTCATCTGCGTAGGCCTCCTCTTTGGCCTCTAACATGTCAAGCGAGGCGGTTGTTGCCTCTACCTCTGAACAACCTGCCGCTTGTGGGCTTCTTGCCCCCTATTGTGGAGAGGTCTTGTGCCTCGAGGTTGACTATATCCTGCATGAGCGGAAGATAGTTGGTATACCCGATGAGATCTCTGCCTAGGCGAATACCTTTTACCACATCCAAGCATGACTGATCGGTCATTTCCAATCTAGGAGTAACAAACATTTTGCTGAGATAGGACTGGAGGTTATGCATGGAGCTCGACCACTTGCTGTGCTTGAGCTGGCCAAGCTTGTTTCTTACTCTTGCGGTAGCATACTAGTGAACTAAAATTTCTTTGAGTGTGGCAATTGGCGTGGCTTCAAGCCGCTGCGTCATATTTATCTTTGTGTATCGAACTCGCATAACTTGGAAGCCCTGCACGACGGGTTCGATGTTCGTTCCCATGATCAAGGACTGGAAGACTAGTTGTGTTCCCAACATCTCGAAGTGTGCTTTCATAAAGCTAATCCAGGCCTCGTTGTACTTGGGTGATATTTGGACCGCCTTTCTGTCCACATAGGCACTGCTGTAGGTGGGACCAGTATCTGGTGGTTCTAATCTTGAGGCTGCAGTCGTTGCAGAATTTCCAGTGATGTCGCTTGCTGCAGCAACAGCAGAATTTGCACCTACTGCAGGTCTCGAACGGCTATCAACCACACTTGGAGAAGAAGAGGAAGAGGAAGAAGGAGGAGTTATGGTAAGAGGGGAAAGGCTGGTTTCAATAACAGTTCCAGTACCAGGGAGTGGAGGAAGAGGATTACACACTTTGGCCTTTTGCAAGTCTGCCATTTCTACCTCCAAGTCACTCTATTTGTTGGTCATCTCGGTGAAGTCATCCCGAAGTTCTAACATTTCTACGAAGATTTGGTCGAATTGAGTTGTATGATCTTAGCAGTGAAAATGGATTGCATCTGTTCCCCCCACTGTTCTTTGCTCAGTAAGGGAACAATTTCCAAAAAGACAATTGACTAGTGAACAACGTTTGCTTTGTTTCCTCCTTTGGTTCCTGTTCTTGTTGCCGAGCACTTTATGCAGGTGTGGTTTTTCCGCTTGGCCTGCTACATTTAGTAAGGCGTGCCACTGAACGGACAACACTTGTGGCTGTGCCATATTTGGACCGTTATCGTCGATAGGTGGGTTAGAGAGACGCTAATGTCTTGACCCAAAAAAAAGGGAAGTACATCGTATACAAATACAACGTACAGGTTACGTTGTATTCGAATACAACGTACGTACGTATGTTATAGAACGAGTTTTAGAGTACTATAGAAGGTGACGTTGAATTTGGTTGGGAATTTCTCCAAGACCCTCGGGCCAAAGTTGTTTGTATTGCAATTTTATATAACATAGTTTTCTTTTGCATTTTTTGGATTATTTTTAAAAAATCGAAATTCTTAAGAAATTAGAGAACACTTTTTTTTTTTTTTTTTTCTATCCTCTCACCTCACATATCTTTTAGCTGGCGTTCTGCCATGTCATGGAACATATCTTTCTTTTCAGAACCCACCACCTACTTCTAAGGCTATACAGGAGACCCCTGCAAGCATAGCTTTCTACCTCTCTTCGATGAAGGTAGGTTACCTCTCTCGGTGGAGAGGGGTAACGACATGTTTGCCCCTTTGCCCTAGCGTTTAGGGTGCAAAGTTGGGGCCGCCGGTGGGGCCCCGGCTAGCACAAGGACCGAGCATTTGCCAGCAACTGTGCCTCCCTTTTCATCTTCCCCCACCCAGATCGAGTAACAGTAGTGTCTAAAGCCAACACTCCCACGCATCACACACAACCCACTCACACCCGTGTTGGCTGAAGACCTTACTATACCGATTGGGAGGATTCAGCTGACTATATCTCAGTTGGTTTGCACCAAGAGTGCTACAGGCGGCCATGGGATTGAACCCACGACCTCTTGAATGTCACTTGCGTGCCTAACCAAGTGAGTTAGGTCGCTGGATTTGAGAACACTTCAAAATGCCCTAAAAATTGGCTAAAATATATATTTTTATTTTTATTTTTATTTTTTTAAGAATTTGGTTGTGAATTTCAACATGGTCCTCAGGTAAAAGTTGTTTGTATTGCAATGTTTTTACAACTTTCGTTTTTTTTTTGGATTTTTTTTTGAGTTTTTGACAATTTGAAATTTGCGAAAATTCGAATACAAATGTACGTTATATTCAACAGTATGTTCTGTTCGAAAAAAAAATCAGCGATTTTGGAGAACCCGTTTTTGCGAGGTAAGTTGAATAGAATGTACGTATGTTTTTTTCGGGTTAAGACAGACGTCAGCAAAAGAATCGACAAGACTCTCAATGGGCGCACTCTCCCTTTCAGTTAGACGAGCTCTCCTCCTCCTAGTCTGTGTCCACTGAAGTTGTCGCTTTCCTTTCCTTCTCTCTCTCTCTCTCCTCTCTATCTCGTTCTTGTGCTTACGAGTCTCCACGGGCATCGAAAAATAACTCGGTGAAAAAAACAGGGCATTGAAAATAACTCAGTGAAAAAACAAATTGAAAAGCACAAAGAAAGAGAAGGTAGAACTGAGTCCACTGGAGCGGCAATTCATTTGACCTAGAGAGCAGCCAATAAAAAATAAATAAATAAATGATTTTAGATGAGAGTGTTCATCCATCGCCTCAGCCTGATCAGACCAAGTAAACCCCTCGAGCACGATCTCATCAGTTTCGTGAACATACAACAAATCTAGACATCGAGTAAGGACATGCAACAATGGAGAATCGAGTGGTGTATAAGCTGTGAGCCAAGCCACGGACGGTGTGGTAAAGTATGCAAAACGTCTCAGCCGAGAGCCCCTCGGCAGCGAGTATCCTAACCAAAAGAATAAAACTCTTCTAACAAGCCCTAACCCTAAGTGGTAGCTAACTAATTAGTTTAGGGTTGGAGCGAATAAGTCTACTCTCGCCAGCAAGTAGAATCCGCTCTGATACCAATGTTACGATGCTGGCCAATTTCAAAGTGCAAAATTCACGAGAAAGTACAATGACATTGCCGTCCAATTGCAAAAGAAATGGATGAACTTGAGAGGAGAGAGGGGGAAAGAGGAAGAAGAAGAAAGAAAGAAAGAAGAAGATGTACACCAGCAAAGACCAATGATAATTCCCCCTTCTTTGCGCCAACCGACTCCTACTGATCTCCTCCTCTCTTATTCAAGCAATAAAAATAATAATAATGATGAATTGCAGAACCGAAATCAATGTCCGAATCCCTCTTCTACTGCCAAGCCAACTTGAGGTCCACCATAGCCATGGCCTCCTTCCTCTTGCTTCTTCCTCCAGGCCGAGGCTATGGCGGATTGCTAAGGGCCTTGCCCTGACGTGCAAAAGACAACGCAAAGCAGCTATGGCCTCTTCCTCTCATGCCGCCATGCTCGAGTCTGGCGTGAAGCTTCTTGATGTAGCTCTACCCCAACGGGGGCCTTCCAAAGGCAGCGCCCACCAAGGTGATGAAGATGGCATCCACTATAGCCAGGTAAATACCCCTGGCGCTCCCTTTCCTAGTGCCCTTTTTCCTCCTTCTCCTACCAGGGCTCCTCCACCATAGCCAAGGTGGGGACCTGTGCGCTCCTCTTCCCCACAGCGCTGCTTCCAACCAGCACTCCAGCAGCATGACGCCAAACTTGCACGCAACAAAATGAGGAGGAGCTCTTTTGTCGCGTACCGTAAAGGTGTAGACCAGAACAAGAACCGACCTCTCTCACGTAGTACAAGATAGCGTAGTGGAAGGCTAATATACCAATGATCATCGTAGTCTGCAGATACTGAGAAGTGAGGTAGCGAGAGGGTGAGGGAGAGATGGTGGACTTAGAAGAGGAAGAAGAAGAACTCTCTCTCTCTCTCTCTCTCTCTCTCTCTCTCAGTCCGGTACTAACCTGTGAAGGTGGCGCCTTGTTGCAGGTACATCGAAGACAAAGTTGGAGCTATGGCGCCACATGTTAAGTCTCCTTGGCCTCCGCCAACCCTCTTTCTCTCTCTCCAATGCTACTCTAGCTTCTAATAGCGCCCAGCGCTGAAGGCTACTCCTAACGCTACTACTACTACTACTGCAGCGTTCCTCCAGAGTGCTGCTGCCGAATCCTGAAGACCGCCTCCTACCTCCTGCACGTGAAGTGCCCGTGAACTGTCTGGGAAATCCCTATGAGCTACATCAGTCTGCAGGGCGGGCCAGTTCCATATAGTGCTGGCCCGTCCGAGAGGCTGCTCTTGCCAATGCCGAAACGTGCCAGACCCTGACGTTGAAGTTCAAACAAAGGTTGTCTTGAAACAGGCCCAAAAATGGCCTGTGCTAAACCCTGGTCTGGCGCCTGAGTTTTTTTTTCAGGGCAGGCCGACTTTATGAAGGCCTGCAAATGGCCCTCGTTTTCAGGCTTTCAGGCTGAAAAGACACATGGCCTGTAGGGCCCTGAATTTCCGTCTAGTCGGGCCTGTGTGGCTGCGCAATATGCCACACGCACCCCTCCTTGAAAGACCGAGCTTACCTGCGAGGGCGAAGCAGCCTGTCTGAGGGAGGGACCAAAGTTCGGTTGGGAGGGGCAGGCTTCCTTAGCTAACCTTTGTCATTCGCAGTGAGCGTAGACCAGCGGTGCGGATGCTTTCAAATCTGCTCCTGAAATGCATTGAGTGTCGTCGGGATCGCATGCTTTGAAGGTAACTTTGTACTGTCGAGGCTTGCTGCCGTACTTGCGATCCGTGATGACGTCACAAAATGGCCCAAGTACTCGAGCTCTTACCATGCAAATTAGCATTTGTCGGGGTTGGCTTTGTACTTGGCTTGTAGTAGTTCCAAAACGGTGCGCAAGTGCTCCACGTGCTCGTCCAAACTCTGGTTGTACACCAAGATATCGTCGAGGTAGATGAGTACAAATCTATCTAGCATGTGTCGGAACTCCGTTGTTATAACCGCTTTGAATGTGGCCGGGGTATTCGTAAGGCCAAATAGCATAACCAGCCATGCGAAATGCCCATATCGCGTTTTAAACGCGGTTTTGTAGCAATCCTCCTGCCGGATCTCGAGTTGGTGATATCCCGATTTGAGGTCCAGCTTGGAGAAGATCTTAGCGCCGCCCAACGGTTCGAGAAGGTCGTCGATGCGCGGGAGAGGGCCGACGTTCTTCACGGTTTGCGCGTTGAGCTTGCGATAATCGATGCGCAACCACAAATCCTTCTTCTTCCGGACGAAGAGAACGGGAATACCGTATAGCGAAGAGCTTGGCCGAATCCAACCTTTCTCAAGAAGGTCGTTAAGTTGTGCTCGTAGCACACTTAACTTTTCCTCGCTCATGCGGTAGATGCAACCACGTGGAGGTACGGCCCCGACCTCGAGGATGATTTCATGCTGGATGGGCCGATCCGGTACTACTACTCCGTGCCAGGCTTCAAACACGTCGCTGTAGGCGTCAAGAAGCTCGGTGATGAGTGAGTCCGTTGATGCGTCCGTCGATGAGATGTCATGGGGCGGGAGGGCGTGGAGAAAACACACACCCATCTCCTCGATGTCGTCTCGGGTGATGGAAGCTCGAATGCTCGCGGCGGACACCACATGACAGCTGATCGAAGGGTGAGGTGAAGGCACCGTGCATGGGATTGGTACTTTGTTCCGATCATGAACGTGAACGGTGCGGCGGTAGAAGTTCACCGGGTGATCCTCGCTTCGCAGCCATGACATGCCCAAGATCATGTCGAACTGGGTGTCCAAAATGTCAAAGGACACGGCCTCGCTTGCATGTGGGGCGAAGTACACGGGGACGGAATCAATGCACCGGTCGATGGACTTGTGCGTGTGAACGTCGGCCAACGTGACTTGCGTGGGCTGCGACTTCCCCCGAACGTGTGGCCCAAGGCTAGCGCGTATCATAAAGTGTTGGCTGATGTAGTTGCGAGTAGCTCCGCAATCGATCAAAGCACTGAAGGTCGCCTCTTCGGTCTGAATGCGTATGTACAACAATGGCGCGTCGATGTCGTCGTACTGTTGTCATGAACTCATGGTCGATCTTCGCAAGAATGTGACTTGCGTGGGCTGCGACTTCCCCCGAACGTGTGGCCCAAGGCCAGCTCGTACCATAAAGTGTTGGCTGATATAGTTGCGAGTAGCTCCGCAATCGATCAAAGCGCTGCAGGTTGCCTCTCCGATCTGAATGCGTATGTACAACAATGGCGCGTCGATGTCGTTGTACCGTTATGTCTTGAACTCGTGGTCGATCTTCACAACGTAGTCGTGAAGGTCAACAACCTCTACTCCGACGTCCATCAACGGAGCTGGTACTGCATTGTGCAAGCAATCCTGCAATTGTGCCTTGAGCACGTTGCAATGCGGTTTCGACGATCGACGGGGGGGGGGAAGGGGCATCCACTGGAAGTCCGCGAACGTCAACGGGTCGAGTTCTTCAAGTCTTGACCATGACGTCGAATCCTCGACGATAGATGGCGGCGAAGTTGCCGAATCGGTTGCCGATGGTGGTGAAACCGTCCATGCGGTGGATTGTTGCACATGGAGTGGTTGGTCCAACAGTGGGACCAAGTAGACAGTGTAATCCTCGTAAGTGAACCGAGGACTCGCGACATCCGCATTCTTCCCAGATGTGTAGGAGGCCACTAGCAAGGCGTCCAAATCTGGCGGAGTGAGAGGTGGAGTCGCCTCACTCCCACGCAACTCAGTTTCCCGAGTTGATGCGAGGTCGAACATCCTCCTTGCCTTGATCTTGGCATTGGGAGGTCTTGTGCTTGGTGTTGTTGCACCAATAGCAGCAGCCATACCGGATGCGCCACTTGTATTCGGCCTCGGTCAAGTGAAACTTGACCCATGGTACCGGCTGTTTGTTTCCGGCCGGCGATGCGATTTTCACCCTCCCTTTTCCATAGGAGTTGTTGTTGCTTCGCGGCTGGACAAGGGCCACCTGATCTCCCTCACGTGATGCTTGGGTGGCTGCCGGGTCTTCCACAATGATGTCCAGTTGGACTGCAGCGACTTGCTGTGGACATGGACCAAATTTTCCTTTCTCCACATGGGCTGGCTGCCACGCTGACTTTTCGTGTGCAGCAGTCCGGTTGGTCTTGATGATCTCTCGCGCCTTGTCGATGATTTCGGCGAAGGTTGTGTACTGCTTGCAATCACCAAGTGCGAGGCTTAAGGCGGCACACGACCGGTTGTAGAACTCCCGACGCAGATGCAGAAATGGTAAGTCGAGATCGGGCGTTGCCACGATCTTTCGCCACTCCGTAAGCCAGTCACGTGTTGGTGTGTTGCCTTGAGTCATGCTGAAGAGGTGGTTGATGGCGAGCGTCGGGGCGTCGTCAACGATGAACCGCTTCTTCCATTGTCCCGTCAGATCTTCCCAAGAGATCTTCTTGTGTAGATCGGCGACCTGGACGCCGTGGATGGTTGCCAGGTGGCTGAGCCAGATCTGGCATCCGCCCTGTGAGTTGAGCAGCGCGCCGATGTACGAGTGCTCAGGGATGTGATGAATCCGCAGTTCCGTCGTAAAGCCCTCCCACCAGGGGACCGGGTCTTGATGCGTATAGTCATCAAACTTTTCAATCCGGAATATCGACATTTTGTATTGCTGCGGACTGGTGCTGCCATCGTGCTCGGGCGGCTGGTGCACTTCCCAAACCTCGTTCTTCAAGGCGTCAAGTTGCTCGCTGATGGTGGCGGGTGCGGTGAAGGTGCTGATGTCACCGAGCATTGCGACTACATGGTCAACTCGTTCCTCCAATTGGCAGGTTGAGGCTGCACTGCTGGGCTCGCCAGCGTCTGGTCCTGGTGATTCTTGCTCCAGGTCTTGTACGTGGGAATCAAGTGCCCGTGTAGCATCCTCGTGCAGATCCTTGTCGTTCCGCACAACCCGTTGGAGGTTCTCCAGGTCCTGGTGCTGTTTCGCCATTGCCTGGTGTTGTTTCTCTAACTCGGACTGCAGGTGGTTACAAGTGTAAACCAACCGGGTCACGAGTTTGGAGAGGAACTCCTTGTGCTGCTCTTCCGGTGTTGCGTCGTGATGGTCCTCGGATGGTTCGAAATGCCAGAACTTGAGCTTTTCGACGCTGGCGGCTTCATGCCGCTGTAGCAGATCCTGGGCCTCCTTGCGGCGGGCCTGGGCATCTGCGTCAGCTTCGGCCTGAAGCCGCTGCTTTTCAGCTGCTGCCGCCACTTCAGCCTGTAGGTGGGCAGCCTCGGCTGCCGCCTGGCGCTGTACCTCAGCCTCGATCAGCGCGAGCTGCTCTAGAAACCGCTGTCGGTACTCGTCAATGGACTCGTTGGCCAATTGGCCTGGCATGCCCAAAGCTGAAACCGTCATGGTGGCGGGCACTGCTGATGTGGCACTTACCAAACTGGGAATGCAGGCAAAGGGTTGGGTGGGAGGGAAAATGCAGGCAGGTAACCAACCAAAGTGTACTTTCCTCCCGGTCCTAATCAACAGAATAAAATAAAAATAAAAAATAAAAGAAGAGGATCAACCCCCGCCCCCTTTTTTTTTTTTTTTGTACATCTGTCGATCTGCTATGAGTGAGGCGTTTCAGAGGAGTACTATGAGCGAGATCTAGGCGAGGTTTCGCAAAGTTTCGGCTTCCAAAAAAAATTGCGATCTTGATTTTTTTTTTTTTTGCGCGAAATACACTGGAGGTTCCACTTTCAGAGAAGAATAGATCCAGTCCGAGAATATGACAACCTCCCTAGTTCACCTAATATGCCCAGAGTGAAACAGAAAACGAAATGCTAAGTTGCAAAAAAGCATACTTGCAACCGCATGAGCCGCACATTCATGCGGAGTTCCGTGCGGGGGGTGCCTGTGGGGAATCGTGCAGGTTTTTTAATTTTAATTTTTATTGTTTTCTCTTTTTTTGGGAGGGGGAACAGGGGCGTATGACAAGAAGATGGGGATATGGCAAGGAGAGGGGGATATGGAGAGGAGGAGGAGGATGTGGACGAGGAGGACGACGAGGAGGAGTCGAGATGGGGGAGGAGAAGAGATGGACGGAGGGAAAAGAGGAAGGGCAGGAGGAGGAGGACGAGTGGGAGGAGGAGGAGACATGGACGGCGAGGAAGGGTAGGACACGAGGAAAGGGAGGACACGAGGAAGGGAAGGAGACGAGGAGGCATGGAAGATGAGGAAGTACGACGAGGAAGAGACGAGGAGGATGAGGAAGGGCAGGAGGAGGAGGACGAGTGGGAGGAGGAGGAGACATGGACGGCGAGGAAGGGTAGGACACGAGGAAAGGGAGGACACGAGGAAGGGAAGGAGACGAGGAGGCATGGAAGATGAGGAAGTACGACGAGGAAGAGACGAGGAGGATGAGGAAGGGCAGGAGGAGGAGGACGAACAGGAGGAGTACGAGGAGGAGGAGACGAAAAGGAGAAGGGAGGAGGAGACATGGAGGATGAGGAAGGGGAGGAGGAGCAAGGTGAGGCAGTACTCCTGTAATTTTTTTTTTCATCTCGCTTATAATTTTGGGGGGGGGCCTCAAATGCACCGTTTCGGCCACGGCCTTTTTTTTTTTTTGCTGAGGGGGGKGATGGGTCGTTCTCCGCACAGTCGTGCGCTGCACGGGATCGGTTGGGCGCGTGCGCCGCACGTAGGGAACCGCCCGCACGACGTGCGCTTGCATGTATGAAAAAAAGAGAAAAATAAAACAATAAAAGAAATTTGCAGAGATTTGACGAAGTCCTACTTGATTCACTAATAAACCATCAATCAATCAATCAATCAATCAATCAATCATTCAATAATCAGTCGATCAAGCAAGCTGGCTTCTTGATTGGGCGGATCCTCTGATTGAGAGGTCCGCTCCGATACCAAACTGTCGCATACCGTAAAGGTGCAGACCAGAACAAGAACCGACCTCTCTCACATAGTACAAGATAGCGCAGCGGAAGGCTAATATACCAATGATCAGACCAATCAATGTTCATCGTCATCATTCCATGGTGTGAAGGGGCCTGGCGTTCACACAGGAAGAATGCCCCAGTCCCCAACCATACTCCGACGAAGAAGAGGGTGGTTAGACGAAGAAGAGGGGAA